TAAATACAAAAGGGGACCAAGCTAGGATGCTTCTTAGCCTGACTGGGGGTCTCACAGAGATGGTTACGAGAGAGGCCTTGGGTCAGGAAAGACAGGAGACCAAATCCGAGAGGCCCTGGACTAAGTCTTTCCCCACTGACTTTTCTAAATGGGCCAAGTAGCCCCCAAGCCCTGGGAAATCATGGCTAAAGGCCAAGCTTTGCATTCCCAAAGCAGATCAAGGCAAAAATAAACACTGAATATTCGATCACTAAAGACTCACACTGGGTGGGTTGCAGAGGGCCTTAGGTCAGGGTGACCATGGCATAAGAAATGTCATACTCCCTAATCCAGAAACAAAGGCTAATGGTTGCAAACAGCAGGCCAAGTGATAAACATAGTAAGTCAAGGACAAGGCAATGAGTAGGTATAGAATCAAAAATTCTAACAGTAATAGATAATATTGGCCAAAGCAGAATTAAATACTAGTTTTGTTCTCCTCTGTCATTCATTAATTTTCTTACTCATTCAATAAAATTACCGAACGCATATCATTTACTATACCTTGATCTAAGCTCTGGAGACACAGAGATGGACAAGGCAGACAAAAATATTCTCTGCAGAGACCAAAAAAAGTAAAATATGGAGAATGTCAGATGGTAGTTAAGTGTTTAGAGTAAAATCAAGCAGGGAAAAGAGACTGGAGCTAGAGGCTTAAGGAGGGGACTTAAGTTACTTCCCAAAAAGATTTCAATGTTTGGCTTCAAGTTTTAAAATGATCCCTTTAAAAGGAAGTCATCATCTCCTCTTCAAAGAACTGTTATAATTATGTTAATGTGGCCCCAGAGCAACTACAGCATTCAGAAAGTAAGTAAACCAAGAATTTTATGGACCAGAAAGGGCCCCTTTGAGAACAGGCAAATTGAAGATCCAATAATAGCCACTTCTCCGGATCCTGCTATGCACTTTCCTTAGTCCATATACACCAGTATCTTCTTTTAATCCTCACATTGCACAAATGAGAAGACTAACATTCTTTTTACCATTTAACAGATGAGAAAATGGAAGCACAGAGCAATTAAGGACCTGGCCCAAGGTGACTCTTGTGCTAAATGTTGTTATCTGTTGGGATTTGACCCAGAGTCCACAACGCTCATACTTTTTAAATAAATATTCACTGGTGGGCTGAAGTTTCCTTTTGCCAATGCTTGTCTCTTTTATTCTATTAAAGATCTGCTTTTCAGTATTTTACTGAAGTTCTTTCAATGCCACCATGGCACCAACCATCAAAAAAGGAACACTGGATTCATATTTGCAGTGTCTTTTCTCAAATACCAAAAAAGTGGAGGGCAATGAAGACCTCAACTATTTAAATATCAGTTCCTGGATCCAATTAGAAATTCCTTTCTTTGAGTTGCATTTTAGGCTAAAATTAAAATTAGCCCTGGGGCAAAGAAGAGGTCAGCATTGCTAATTTCTATCAATAGGTGTCATCTCAAACTGAACACAGCCCAAGGGAAACTTGATTGTCCCACATTGGACCCACACACATTCCTCCCCTATGACCTCACTCCACAACAGACACCTCAACCTACCAGTCTGTCAGGCCTAGGAACACGAGTTCTCCTTGACCCCTCTCTTCCTCTCACCTCCACATCCAATCCAACAGCAAATTCTATCGTCTCCATTCCAAGTCTGTTCTTTTCTCTATTACCCTTGTCCTTCAAGTCCAAAATCCTAGCATCACTTGCCTAGATGACTGTGATGGGCTCCTAATTGGTCTCTGCTTCCCAGTCCTGCACCTTGAAAATATCATCTCCACACTGTAGCCAGAGCGAACTATTTAAAGCACAAACCACACTGTGTCACTTCCCTGCCTAAAGTCCTCTGGGCAACAGGACACTCATCAGCAGTCTACCAGGCGCCCTGTGATCTAGCACTGGCCTGCTTCCCCAGCTCTTGCAGTTCAATCCTTTCCTCCCTTCCCTCCACACGAAAATCCAAAAGATGACGGCAACGGTCTTGCTCTAGATTAAAATGGGAATCCCAATGAAGATACTACATTCACACAAAAACATTTCCACAAATGCTTTATTTCATCCTTTAAAAAAATTTACAAAAAGTTATAATCTTCATAAACAACTGCCACTTTCTGAAATGTTTTTATTCTTTTGTTTAGATGCATTTACTCTTCAATATCATCCTAAAAAATCTATACCATGCCATTTATATCTGAAATATTTAATTTAAAGAACTGTAATAATGAAAGACCCCCTCAGTGCACATTTTCCCCTTGTCTGATTATGTCACATTCTCTCAGGCAGAAAGAGCGAGACAAGTGTCCCAGTCATAGTCCCTGAGTTGAGTGTCCCACAAGGTTCTGTGACCTTTCTTTATGTCATTTATTTTGTGTTCTGACCCAAACTGCCTTCCTAAGGGCTTGGTGATGGAGCTGACAGTGCCACAATTAAAGTAGAATATGATACTGAATATTAACCTAAAAGTTTTACAACAACTTATAAAGATAAGGGAGAAACCAGAGTAAAAATGACTACTTTATGATTGGTGCTAAATCCTGGGAGCTGGTAAAGGGCGTTATCAACACATGGTAGCCGAGGAAGACTCACCATAAACTTTGTGGCAAGAGATTGTTCATTAACTGTAGACGATTTGAAAGCAATTACCAAAGGAGAATGCAAGAGGCCCCAAATGAAGGTAATGTGAATTGCTTGCCCTACCTATTTGCACTAAGGCATTCCCTGGACTAGGGAAGAGTAGGCTCCTCTTATTTTTCAATTCTGTGTCTGCCCACTACAGCATGAGAAGATACCCATATGTTTTATTCACTGGAGTAGTTAAAGCAAGTATAACAATGCATGCCACACAGTAGGTCCTGAATAAATAATGAACAAATGAACATGTTTTCAAGGTTTCTTTTTTGTCACCTTCTCTCTTCCTTTTCACTAATTCAGATCTCCCTTTATAAGATCCCTTTCTAAGAAAACTTATGAAGAGCAAAGTACGCAAACACGTAGCCATCAAACATCTTTTCCAAGTTCTAACTGGACCCTAAGCCACAGTTCAGAGGATATGGAGGTAGAAAACATAAATTCTGACACTGAGCCATTAGCCATGAAACAGAGATCATGCTTTTGAAGTTGGAGATACACTTCAAAAACTGAGAGTCTACAGTGGCAAGAATATTAGCTGGCAGCTATAAATTGCAATAAACAAATTCAATAAAGATGTAATCTCAGTAGTGTACACAGTACCACATTCCACCTCCCTAGCCTGCAATCATGTAGGTATTTTTGTTATTATCGCTATTATTATTAATTTTGCCTTTTCTCAATCTGGCCTCCAACCAAAATACCCCAGTGGATTTAAAATTATTCAAAAGCACGTGTTACTCCAATTCCTCCTAAATCCACTCCAAAGAACAAATCCTTTAATATACACTGCAGGTAAAAATACCACCCCCAAGTAAAATAACTGTAATCCAGGGTAAAGCTCTGCTGGCCTCAAAAGCTACTTGAAAAAAATGTATTAAAAATGACTGCCCAATACACAAACAAAATTCTGTCACTGACAAGGTAACTTGAGGTGCCATTAACAAGACACAACTGCCAAGATGAGAAATAAGGTTTAGTCATCTCTCTCTGTCTCTCTCATCCTACACACTCTACCTATTCTTTTTCAGCTTTCAAGAAATGAAGAGGGAAAGGGTAAGGCAAGAGCAGACACTGGGGATATTTTGAGAAATAAAAGGATTCAAAAGTGCAACTTCTACTAACATAGTAGCAGATCTCCAAGGAAACGCAAGGGACTAGGAAAGTTCTGTGCCAATAATATCAATATAGAAACACTGGTTCCCATACTTAAGTAGTCAACTTCTTCCTAGTTGGATTTCATGTTTCAGCTGGAAGCAATCTCAACATTTCCAAACAACCCAGCAGGAGAAATGACCAAGTAACCGAATCTACCCCGCAAAGATAAGCAACAGCTCCCAGCTTGTAGTTCAAGTCTCCCAAGCATCCTTAAGAGCCCAAGTCCTAAAATCCAAGGGGTATTAAAGATGGGCCAAAAGATCTCAAGCACCTCTCCAAAAAGTCCCATTGTCACAGCATAGACATTTGTATTTCCCTCTGGTTTGTTTGTGGAAAAACAAAGTAAAAAATATAAACAGCAGCGTGCCACACATCTGCTCCTTTCAAGCCCGCCTCATTAATCCAAACACTACCACCAACCCAAGGGCCCTGGGAGTTCTTTCCCATAATATTCCCATCTTCACACGTGTCCATTACTAGGTTTCCCAACATGAGGGTACAAGGAGCAGAGAAGTTCAAAAGGCCCCTAAAGGAGGAAGATAACATAATAACACTAATAATAATATAACATATTGCAATATTATAAGCAGCAGACTGCCCATTTCGAAAGGGAAGTGGGTGCTAAAGAAAAGGACAACTAAACTTCTGTTGCAGTGATTGCAGGCTGCAAGCCATCAGCTGCAGGGAGGGTAGCACGCCCGCAGGAAGGCGCCGAGGCTAAGTGGCCGGTTTCTCTTACTGGTGATGGAAAGTTTTAAATTAACTGTGTTATGGGGATATTGCCATGATGTATTAATGGTCCGATCGGACCGGATGTGTTCACGCTTCTCCATCCAGGCGTAAAGCACGCCCACTCTGCCTCCCTGCCTCAGCCGTCTTCAGGGGTGCTGGAAGCCGCTGGCAGGCAGGGCCCGAGGACCAGCGCGTTCCTCTTGCCTCTCCAGACCCTGCAGGTGCCAGCACAGACAAAACCCAGGGCTCTCGCTTCCCTACCCGCCGCTGCGGTGCGGTCCTGGGTGGGGTCACTACGCACCCCAGCCTGGTCACTCTACCTGGAGAGGAACAGGGCAGCAGGAGGGCACCGTGCGGAAGCAACACCCCGCTCGCCGGTGGCACAATCGCGCGCGCACACACTCACACACACTGAGAGGCGCGGGGAGGGGCGCGCAGTGGCGCGGGCGGCGGGCGCGTTACCTGTTCTGCCAGCCCTGGAGGAGGTTGGTGTATTTGCTGAGCACGCCCTCGAGCGCCGGTTCCTTCCTGCGGCCACCTCCTCCGGACGGGCTGGCGGCCACCGAGCCCGGACTGCTGCGGCTGCCCCCGCCGCCTAGCCCGGCCGCCACCGACCGGCTGGAGACCCCCCGGCCGGCCAGGGAGCAGGAGGGCGAGGAGCCCGCCGAGGTGGCGCGGCTGCTGCTGCGGCTGCTGCTATTGCTGCCCGCGCCGTCTGCGCCCTGGGCCGCCCTCTCCATGGTCCGTGCGCGCCCGGGACGCGGGTGCCCGCCGCGGTGGCGGCCCCAGCGCTGGAGCTCCCGGCCCGGCGGCTGCTGCTGCTGCTGCTGCTGCTACAGCTCTGGGCCCCCGGCCGCGCGTGGCTGCTCCAAATCCCCGGGAAATGCCTGACTCATACAGGAGGAAGAGCAGGAGGCGGCGAAGGAGCGCTGGGAAAGAAGCCAACGGGGCTGGATGCAGCTGCGGCCGCCCCTCCTCCTGCCGCGGCCCCGGCCGGGCCCCTCCCTCCGCACTAGTTTCCCCGGCAAGTTCCGCGCGGGGGGCGGGTTCCTCGGCAGCCCTGGGGTTCCTTCGCCTCTTCTCTCGCGTCCCAGAGGCCGCTCAGACGCGGGGGCTGGGGGCGCGCCCGGGCCCCGATCCGCAGAGGGGGCACGCCCTGAATGCGCGCCCTGGCACCCTTCGCGTTCCTTCTGCCGCCCCCTCTCGGCTCCAAAGGGGCAAAAGGGAATCTCCGCGCGTCGCGCCCGGGCCCCTACCCACTCGGGACCTGCAGGGAGGGGCGGCCCCACCCACCCAGTCCACCCGGATATGGACCCGCCCGGCCTGGCGCGCACACACGCGCGCACACACACGAGCGCACACACACACATGCGCGCACACACACGCACACTCCCTCTCCTGCACCCCGACTGGGTCAGACACACGCACACCGCAACCTGGAAATCCACCTCCCTGACAGCAGAATAACAGGACAGTGAGGTCCTCGCGTCTCTCCAGCACGTACGGGAGGGGAGGCGGGGGAGACGCGCCCAGGGCTTGCTCACGAGGCGGAGTTATGAGAAATGCTTCAGGACACCAGAGCCCGGCCAGAGTGAGACGAGAGAACTCTCAGGTTTCTGCACGTGCTTTCTTAAATAGAGTGTTCTAGGCGCTGCACTGGCCTCACCCTAATCCCCACACATAAACCTGGCGGGTCAAACCTGAGACGGTGTGTAGGGTAAGGAAAAATGTCAGGCTTTTCTGCCCTCCCGCCATCAGGACAGATGATGGATCCTTGCGGTCCTAAATGCATGCCTGATGGCAGGCACCTGGAGTAGGGTGTGGGCATAGGTAGATGGGATTCACCTGGGCTGAGACTGGGCTTTTAAGGGCGGCGTCATGGGGACGCCAGCAGAAGCCAACAAGCCAAAAGAGAAGTTGAGAAAGAAGCAGAAGCAGAGCGAACGCTGGAGAGCCCAGCTAGAGTAAAGACTGGCTGGGGGCTGGGAGGCCTGCCAGCTTCCAGGCCCCCCAGCACCCCTGCCTGCTGTGTGCTGGGTAAATCCCAATAAAAGACCTGCAAAAAGCCACTACGGATTCTGACTCCTCCTTCACCCGGTCTGCATGGGATCAGAAAACCTGCTCAGTGTCCTTCCTGACCCTACATGGTGTTAGCACACAGCTCCCAGCACCTGAGAAGACCAGAGACTCTCGTGGGTATGAGGGCTGAAGGCAAGGAAAGCAATAGATATTTACAAACACAGAGAAGGATTCTGTTGGTTGTAACTTCTGTCCCCCACCCCAAGATAAAGTGAGTGGCAACCATGTCTCTAAATCTAAAATTGTTGCTCTTTGGCAAAAGCAAATAGGTGGGTTGCTCTCTCACAACCCCTGTAATAATTTCTGTGGACATAAAAATTCAAGGTAAAATGGGAGTTTCTAACATTACCTAGAAAAATAGCTTTGAAGAGTTCAGGTACACAACGAAGACAAAGGATGGTAGGTGGAGAGGTGATCCCTAGCCAAATGATCTGCAAACCCATTGTAGGGTAAGGTAAAAGGTATCAGGCTTTTCTGCCCTCCTGCCATCAGGATAGATGAGGGAACCCTGTGATCCTGAATGCACGCCTGATGGCGGGCACCTGAAGTGGGTACACCTGCGCTTAGACTGCTTTTTTAAGGGCGGCGTCACAGGGACGCCAGTAGTGGAAGCCAAGAACGAACAGAAGTAGAGAGCAAAGAAGCCGAGAGCAGAGAAGCCGAGAGAAGGCCGGAGAGCCCACAGAGTAAAGACCTGCTGGGGGCTGGGAGGCCTGCCAGCCTCCCGGCCCCCCAGCACCCCTGCCTGCCCTATGCCTGGTGAACCCCAATAAAAGACCTGCAAAAAACCCACTGAGGACTCTGACTCCTCCTTTACCCAGTCTGCATGGGATCAGAAAACCTGCACTGTGGTCATTTCCCGCCCTTACACCCATAAAACAGATAAATAATTCAACAGGTTAAATTAAAAAAAATGACTAAATGGAGTAGAGTCAGGTCTCAAAGGAACTGTTCCCCCAAGCTTTTATAAGGTCACATTCTTTCAGGGAACTCTCAAAAGTGATTCAGCTTTAGAGATTTTCACCGAGAAACTTCTGAGAAGTGGTTGTACCCCTAGATAAATCACAATTCCAGGTGTAATGCAAGAAAAGTTCACTCAAGAGAGACTATATGGTAGAAAGGACCAACTTTGCAGCCAGATTTTCTAATCTCTGACTGTAGGGTAAGGTAAAAAGTATCAGGCTTTTCTGCCCTCCCACCATTAGGATAGATGATGGAACCCTGCGGTCCTGAATGCATGCCTGACAGCGGGCACCTGGAATAGGGTGTAGGCATTTGTAGATGGGATTCACCTGGGCTGAGACTGGGCTTAAAAGGACGGAGTCACAGGGATGCCAGCAGAAGCTGAAAGAAGAAGCAGAGAGAACACCAGAGAGCCCAGATAGAGTGAGGGTTTGCTGGGGGCTGGGAGGCCTGCCAGCCTCCCGGCACCCCAGCACCCCTGCCTGCCATATGCCTGACAAATCTAAATAAAAGACCTGCAAAATCCACTGAGGACTCTCTGACTCCTCCTTTACCCGGTCTGCTGGATCAGAAAACCTGCATTGTGGCCCATCCTGCTCTTACACTGACGTTGATTGATTTCTCTCTTTTAGACTTCATTTTCTCACCTGCAAAATGGGACTAGGGATTCTACTGGCTGTGATGAACTATGTGAGAAAATTTATGTCTAGAAAATATTTCCTTCCTCTTCCTATGGAAGGAGTTATCTTCCCTCCACATTAATCCCAGGCTTGGTCATGGAATTGCTTCGGCCAGTGGAATGTGAACAAATACAATATGTGCCTCTTTCAAACATAAACTCTAAGAGCTTCATGTGGTGGGATGAGTCTAACAAAATGAGGGCAGAGTGGTGACACGGGACTTCCCTCCTTCATATCCTCACTGTAAAGGGGCAGGACAGGCCACAGTGCAGGTTTTCTGATCCCATGCAGACCAGGTAAAGGAGGAGTCAGAGTCCTCAGTAGTTTCGCAGGTTGTTTATTTGGGGTTAACCAGGCATATGGCAGGCAGGGGTGCTGGCTGGGGGGCTGGGAGGCTGGCAGGCCTCTCAGCCCCCAGCAAGTCTTCACTCTATCTGGGCTCTCTAGCATTCGTTCTGCTGCTTCTCGGCTTTGGCTTCGGCTTCTACTGCTGCTGCTGGTGCTGCTTCTGCTGCTGCTGGCGTCCCCTTGACGCCGCCCTTAAAAGCACAGTCTTAGCTCAGCTGAATCCCATCTACCTATACCCACACCCTATTCCAGGTGCCCGCCATCAGGCATGCATTCAGGACAAGGATCCATCATCTATCCTGATGGCAGAAGGGCAGAAAAGCCTGATATTTTCTTTACCCTACACTCAAAATTGTAACAAGCAAAGTCAACAGCCCCTGAAAGATAAACCAATGACTTCTGCATACATCAGGAGCAATGGTCTGGTGGAAAGGGGTAGGAAAAACTGTAATTGAACTGTGTTTGCAGCAGTATTAGGGCAGTACGACCTAAAGGAAGGACAGGTGGCTGCGGTGTGGGGCCCCTCTGCTGTTGTTGACTCAGGGGCACACACCCACATAGGGGATGTTGGAGACCCAACAATGCATGGGAGAAGGAGGTACACTGCTACAGAACTCTAGGAGCTGGAGTGCAGAGTGATCACTGGCTTGAACCTGTTCCAATCTAGAATAGTTGGAGCCTGAACCTAAGGGGAAAACCAGGTCAGATCGCTGGTGTCTTCTCACAGAAGAGGTTATTTATTATCTGCAGCCTGAGGCTGTAATATTCCAAACACCTGCCTTATCCCATCAACACCAAAAGCAAGACAACTGAATGCTTTCACTAACGAGAGCTTAAACACCTGGTCTTAACAGAAACAAGCGCCATGGAGAAGACTCTATACTAGACAGCAAAGGAAACAATACCTGACTTTTGTCTCAATCTTAATGACAATACTCACCAGTACTGCATCTAGGGCTCAACCACAGCTTAGAGGTTGAGGCTGGCAGAAGATTATATGAGAAACACATGGTCTAAAGAGTTGGCCTAGGGGAGGGGGGGTCACTGTAGACCCCACCACAAACTCAGGAACCCCCAGCACAGAGGAAGCCTGACCCCTTGATGCTCACTGGAGGTGGCTTTTCAGGATCCTACTGCCCTGATTCTTGCCTTTCTTTACTCTTTGCCAGCACTGGTCTGCAAAACAGCACAGCAGTCTGTGAAATAAGACACTAAAATCCTAAGTCAAAAACCTAGGACATACCCAGTCTCTTGTGGTAGGTGTATAAAGCCAGTTTACTAAGGTAAGAAAGGGAAACTCCCTGTCACATACTATATACTCCCTACCCACAAAAACTGAAAATGGAGAGAAGAACATTATCACAAATGTTGGACCAAAAAAAAAAAAAAAAACCCAAAAGAAATCTCAATCAAGCAGAATTCCAGGATATGCCTGAAGAAGAGTTTGACAGTCATAACCATGCTTGGTGAATTAAGACATACAATGAGAGAAATAAAACAGGAACACAACAAAAATTGAGAAAATATGAGATTGCTACAACTAGAATAAATGGACCTAAAATATGCTGTAAGTGAATTTTAAAACACAATAGAAGGTCTCAACAGTAGACAAATGCAAGTAATGGAGAGAATTAGTGGGCTTGAAAGCAATTTTAGAGAACAAATAGAACAAGGAGAAAAAAGTATAAAAAAATGAAATCAGAATAAGAGCTATTTGGGATAATCTAAAGAAAAATACATTTATATCATGATGTTCTCATAAGGAGAAAAAGAAAAGGCATAGAAAGTTTATTTTAAAAAATAATTGCTGAGGGCCTCCCTGGTGGCCTAGGGGTCAAGTCTCAGCGCTATCACTGTCATAGCCTGAG